CTCTCTCTCTCTCTCTCTCACATACACACACACATACATTCATATATACATACACATCTACTAACACATTCCACCAGCTAAATATTATATTACAACTAGTTCCACGATAGCTAGCGAATGAAACAAAACTTGGCAACATGTTCTAAATATGTCAACATGCGAACTAATACGTAATTACTTCCTGGTAATAACACCTGGAGACAAACATCAGATACTAGTTATACAATTGACACCAATTTGACCAATAAATGGGCGGACCGTAGAGTCGTATACGACAATCAGCTGATGCAGCTAGGTTGTCTTCGCTCTCAAAAAGTTTATGTCCTGCTCTCGGGTCGTTTTCACATGTTATGTATTTTAGAGGCACACCAAGTTTACTGCAGAGAAAATGGCGAGAAACCACAAACATCAAATAGATTTTGTTTTTCTTTTTTTCCTGCTCTTGCTTCGTTATCCTTTACTACAATCGCCATGAAACTATGAAAAAGGGGGAATTTTTGAACCATTGGAGGGAACCATAATCTTGGCTGGCTCACAGGAAGAATTTTGTCAGTTTTTTTCGTATTGCAAAGTGCTTCATAGAATACGTCCTATTTAGCATCCCCTGCTGTTTTCTTTGCATAGGATCTACCCATTAAATTGACTACATCTGCTCGCCTAAGGACTAGATAAACGTCTGTTTTGTTCATACCTTCCTCTGTTTCTGCCATGTATCCTTTCTTCTTCTTCTTCTTCTTCTTCTTCTTCTTCTTCTTCTTCTTCTTCTTCTTCTTCTTCTTCTTCTTCTTCTTCTTCTTCAGCATTATCTTCCATGATTATCAATATTATCTTTTTTAGTTTGTTAGCTAAAATGACGAGACATTGAGAATGGCGAGATAATAGAGTCTGAACAAGAATTGTGGTCATAATATCCAAATGTTGTACGTTCTCATAAGTTTCATTATGATTGAAAGGTATAGCACAGTGATGCTGTCCAAATGGACTACTCACCTGGAATGTGATGAAGATGGACATGGAAACCGGCAGTAGGTGCATCTGCCGACCACCCAACAGGTACTCCTCCCTGGTGGCTCTGTCCTTGTCCCTGACAGCGAACAGCACGCCAATCGCCACAGGCACCAGCATCACAAGAACCCCCACGATATAGTCAGCTATGTGGAAACGGAAAACCTCCATGGTCGCTCTCTACTGCCAGAGCTCAGAGCGCGTCCGTCAAAATACTCCTGTGATAGGGAAAAGGCTTTGAAAGAACGTTGCTTATTAATTATAGGGCAATCGGCGAGCGTTTTTCCCCTTACTTTTTCCACATATTATATGGAACAAACTCTCATATGAAATCCGGAATCCCCCAATATTTAGATTTTCAAAAAACAGCTGTAGCTATAGCTGTAGCTTATTCACAAATGTATACTTGTCACAACGATGTTATATTTTTACTGGTAGGTGCTTGGCTGACGGGGAGACTAAAGAATTGCGAGTGAGAGAGAGAGAGAGAGAGAGAGC